GGAGCTTGCGCCACAAAAAAGCGGTTCTAGACTTGAACGAGAATCGCCTGGTCTGGTTATACAATTACTGCAGCACAGACATATTTATACAGATGTAAGACTTGATTTTTTTAAAAATACTAATACTCACCCAAAACAAGGCAAGAGTGCCACTCAATGTAGACGGTTACAATCAAAATTAAGTTTTAGCATTTGAGGAAAATATCCTTTATAGGATATTTTATCATAGGACATTGTTTTTTTTTTACTTTAAATTGAAAATGCGATTTAATCAGAATGTTCTTAGAATGAAAAGGAACGCCAAGAAATTGATTTGAAAATCTCATTTAGATTTCTGAGATGAATTATTATTTCTAACTCGTATTCCCATCTTCGTTAATGCTGATGGCCATGTTTCTGATTCATGGTTAGTAATTTGTCAAGCAAAACCAAACTCAAAGGACTTCAGCATATCTAACTCCTTCATAAAACTCCGGAGATTCATTGTTCTTTTAACATATATCCTCCTGGCATCAGTTTAAACTGACGTATTATTTTTATCTATATATAATCATTTGGCTTAAACTTTGGATTTTCTTGATTTCAGATGAAAAATTTTCCAGCATATTTAAGTGAGCTTTTCACTTTTCAAAAATATAGTTCCTAATTATAGTTCAGATATATAAGGAGAAAAAGGCGCTAGTTTAAAACTGACGTCAAGGGGATTTTTTTTAATAAAAAGCAAGTTTTCTCAACTAGAGAAATGCGATTGGATTATGGGGTGTGATGTTTTGAAATTGTTGCATAGCGTTTACAGGCCGGCGCGAAAACAAATGTTGAAAGAGGCTTCTTTTTTTTTCTTTTTTTTTTTCATTTATGAAAACAAATGACAATCAGTGAGAATCGACGCACAGTAAATATCGCACGAAGAACCTGTCTTCAGCTAAGCACGAAAACACCTGTCGTGTTTGATACGTGCAACTCCGCCGTTGACTGTGAGTTGTTTGCCCGTAGGTGGCACGAATAAGTGAAATTCCGTTTGACAGAAGCTTTTGCGATTATAATTTTATTTATTCGTTTATTACACTTCTTTCTAGAAGGAAGCAATTCAATTCTTCGCTAAAATTTTCAAAATAAGTAAACTTTACAATTGATAAGTAAGAAAAAAAATAAAAGATGGCGTAAAGAGTTGACCTGAATGACTGAGAGGATGACAATGTCTAAATATGGAAGCTCCTGCGGACAAAATATTCAAGGCAGCGTTTATTTATTTTACAACGATGTTCACTCTGTACAAAACCCAAGATCCACTCATGGTAGAGGGTTACAAAGGAAGAGGCACAACCTCTAGCAGGGAGATAATGTCACAAAGACACAATTGCCCACCGGAAGTGAAAGAGAAGGAAAAAGCTTCAGAAGGAACCGGAAACCCAATCCTAAATAAGAAAGAATGGATAGACCTTCTACTTCTGTTCAAAAGATCGGTGATGAGTATGAACCGGATGATAGGTGAACCTATCTACTCTTATTGATGCAAGTCGAGTTACCTAGGTGTAGGAAATTAGTTCTTTAATTACTATCTCCCGTTTTCTACTCTACAGGTTTTATCCAGGTTGTTGTGATGGAAAACAATAATAAAGTTAAGTAAACTTAGTAATCTCTATCTATAAAAGTCAGGATGTGTGTGTGTGTGTGTGTGTGTGTGTAACGAATGCACGGCCGCAATTTTCGACGGATTTGCACCAAAATTTACATGCACATGCTCCAAGTTAGTGGGAAGGCAAGACCGACGTTGCATTTCCCAACTTCCATCGATAGTGGAAATAATAGATTTTTTCATGCTTCTACGGCAGTTTTCATGTAGTTTGCGGTCATTTTCTACTGGCCAGAGTGAGAGCCTATAACTGGCTGCCACGAATAGGCAGGAAGATTCTATTGGCCAGCGTGAGAGCCAACAGCTGACTGACACGAATGTTAACTAGCATGCTAGCATGCAAAAAAATCGATAGCTGCATTCGTCACAAGTGGGAAAAATTTAAATCTGCATGGCACTTTACTCCAATTGGCTCATTCGCTCGCTTAAACTCAACGTTGATTCTGATTCCGCAGAACTGGGTTGGGTGTGAAAAAGTATTTGTTGTTAACATTCTTTTTTCATTCGGTTTTTCCAGTTACGAGTCCTTTTTTTTAAAGCTGATCATTTTGTGTTCATTTTGTTTAGTTCTTTTTTTGTAACAGGTTTAATGTTTAGTATAGAGCTTAGAAAAATTCGCAGTGTGAGATAGGCTAGAAGTAAGGCATGTAGTAACATCAGCACGGCAAAGGGCACTCCTTTAAAGGCAAGGAAGAGTAAAAATATTTTAAGTCAAGTGATAGCGATTGCTGTATGAGTCGTACGAATTTTGAATCAAGCACAGGCAACGCCGGACCATGCTGCTAGTAAAATTAATAATAGTAAAAATGTCTCATCTAAAAGTAACAATAATAAGATGGAATAAAACTAGTAATAAAATAATAATAGTGAAAATGCTTTATCTGAAAAGCAACGATAATAAGATGTAAGTAAAGCTCGCAATGCACTAACTGAAGTGAAAATTCTTCATGTAAAAATGAGAGAATAATTATATTAAACGGTATGCGAATTCAAACATTGTCAACGGCTACTTTATTTCCGAACTATGTAGTTTAATTAGCGGTGAGAGAATTTAAAACAACCTGATCTCTGCAAAGAAAAGCAAGAAGAAATCGTCGAGGCCAAGACTACATCCGCGTCCTGGGTATAACGATAAACTACATCTAGCAGCAAGGCCTCTGATCACGAGGTTTTGAGGAGCGTGGAACCACCTCTTAATTGCTGGTATTCCCAGGTCCACCCTGATCCGGGCTGGTAGCACCTTTTAGGTTTCCAGCTATGTGTAAATAGTTGACCCCTAAACTGGGGTTAAGACACTATGACAGTGTAAAAATAGATTTTAATACAAGAAATACTTTGTAAAAAATTATTACCAGCAATAAATTTTTGAAGAAAAATTATTACCAGAAATACATTATTACCAGCAGTATATTTCTGAAAAAAAAAAAAAATTACCAGATATACATCTTTAAAAAACAAAAAAGAATTACCGGGTATACATTAAAAAAAAATTACCAGCAAAACATTTTTGAAAAAAAATATATTACCAGCAATAAAAAATCTTGTCGGCATTAAATAATTCATTGAAGATGATATACCGTAAAAGTAAAACAAACAAAACTATATATTTTGAATAAAAAAAAAAAAATTACCATCTATAGATTTTTTTAAAAATATTACCAACGATACATTTTTGAGGAAAAAAATATTACCAGAAATAGATTTTTGAAGAAAAAATATTACCAGAAATAGATTTTTAAAGGAAAAAATATATGACCAGCAATACATTTATAAAGAAAAATATTACCAGAAATACAAATTTTCAGCATTAAATAACCCATTGTGGTTGATATGCCACAAACCAAACCAAACCAAACCAAACCAAACCAAAAAATAACAAGAAAAATACACTAATAATGAATAATCTTTATATAAGAAATTCTTACAACTTAAAAACTATTACATCTACGACTACTGGTAGGTTTAAACAAGCAAAGAAAAGCTGGTAAACTTGAACCTAAGTGCCTTAAGAAAAAAAAGTGTATGAATTCACTTTCATACTTTATTTATTTTATTTTATTTTTTTTTTAGAAGGCGGTGTAATGGATAGCGGCTCGGAGAGCAGAGTTCGATTCCAGTCGTACTCGTTACATTCATTCGCGTGCAAATACCATTAGGAAAAATTGTGAAGCCACTCCTTCCCTCCAGCCAAGGGTTAAATAGTAGGACTTATATTTGGAAATATTGTTATTCTCCCAAAATTGTTAATGAAATATTCACTTGCAAAAAAAAAAAAAAAATTCTTACAATCTAAAATATGTCTCGGCTTTAACTAATCCACAAAAGGTTGATAAGCCGTAAATAACAGATCAATCGATCAAACTTTATGATAAACCGATCCTTGATCATATACAAATCCTTTTCAATGCTTAATGTTTATATTCGCAGTTATATGTGAAAAAAATATATCTACATTTCTAAATATCAGAAGAATGACAAAGTTAAAAAATGTTTTCCATCCTCTAAAAAGATGGACTAATATTTTTTATTGATAACATTACTTTTGTCTGATGAAGTCCTTTTAGAAGATGAAATGCGTTATGTAGATTTATTTTTTTCCGGTTTCAGTTACCTAATCTCAAATTGTGTATTTCTTCACTTTTTTCTCTTCTTCTTTTGTCATTTCTTTTCAATGAAATTACTTACTATTATTGTTCTCTCCTTGAAAACTCTTTGAACTTATCTCCTTTCTCCTCGGGATCTCAAGGCAACAAATCCGACCTGACCAATATTTACAAACCCGTTCCTTATAGAATTTTGTCACTTAATATATCCTCTTTCAAAAACCGCAAGTTTATTGTTTTTAATTTTTTTATTTTTGTAGTTTTTATTAAATAGCCTGCACATCATCGCGGCAAACCCAACTCGATTGTCCGAAGTGGGTTATTCGGCAGCGCCCACCTACCCATTTGGCCTGCAGCGCTTCAAAAGAAGCCCCAAAACCCACAAGACAAGCTGAACCACCGACTTTTCAGTTGAAGATAATCCCTGGAAATAGACCTCGTAACGGGTTGGCATCCTTTGTAATTAATTACGCAGAAACGCGGTGAGGGTGTATGAGGGTTTCAATTTATATCTGTCTAACTCTGTGAAAGACACACTCAGATACCTGTGAACACGTGTGTGGCATATATTGTAAATTCCGTATGCAATCACAGGTAGCTACTCCGTGATATAGTGATTAACAATACCGTCAGGTCATTACCACCGGGGAATAAAAATGGGTGAGCACATATTTGGCCTTGTGCCAGAATGAATAGATTATTATTATTATTATTAGCTTTGACTGGTATTTCTTTCATCTTAACATTTTTTAATTGGAATTCTCATGTCGACAATCTATCTATCTATCTATCTATCTATCTATCTATCTATCTATCTATCTATCTATCTCTTGTTTTTATTGCAATTCTCATGCCGAAAATCTATCATTCAGTAATCATCTATTTTGAGTAGTTCATGGGCGTTGTATTGGGTGAACACACACACACACACACACACACACACACACACACACACACACACACACACACACATATATATATATATATATATATATATATATATATATATATACGTTCATTCTCAGATGAATCGTACCACAAAACACACAATTTAAATTACATGACCAAACAGTTTTTTTTAATCATTTCACCCCATGTAACGCAGTAAAGCCACTAAGACACCAGGGGTTATTGAGTGTGAAAGAACAAGAAAAAAGACAAACAATATTAAGGAGCGAGAACAATAGAAGGGAAATCAGAAAGACAGTAGATAACGACTAACATTGCATTTCAATTTTTGAAGATCAAAGTCGGCTGGGAAGCATTAAGCCGGAAGAGAGTTCCCTAAGCGAGAAGTTCGAGAAAAGAAACTCTTAGCATAGAACTTACGGCTGCATCTTGCTAATTCAACAGTAAAATGATGAGACTTTGTTGCCTATCTAGCACATCAGAATCTCCATGAAGTCCTAACTACTCCACATATGTACAATTCTTGTCGGGATTGGGTGGGGTGTAGGTAGTGGTGGGATGTGGGGCGAGGTGGGGTTTAATAAAGCAACAATTTAAAAATCGAAACCCCAATGTGCATTTATAATATGAACTAGCAGCATGGCCCGGCGTTGCCCGTGCTTGATTCAAAAATCGTACGACTACAAAATATTTTTGCCCTTCCTTGCCTTTAAAGGAGTGCACTTTGCCGTGCTGATGTTGCTACATGCCTTACTTCTTGCCTATCTCACACTGCGAATTTTTTCTAAGCTCTATACTAAACATTAAATCTGTTACGAAAAAAGAACTAAACAAAATGAACACAAAACGATCAGCTTTAAAAAACGGACTCGTAACTGGAAAAACCGAATGAAAAAAGAATGTTAACAACAAATACTTTTTCACACCCAACCCAGTTCTGCGGAATCAGAATCAACGTTGAGTTTAAGCAAGCGAATGAGCCAATTGGAGTAAAGTGCCATGCAGATTTAAATTTTTCCTACTTGTGACGAACGCAGCTATCGATTTTTTTTTTGCATGCTAGCATGCTAGTTAACATTCGTGTCAGTCAGCTTTCACACTGGCCAATAGAATCTTCCTGCCTATTCATGGCAGCCAGTTATAGGCTCTCACTCCGGCCAGTAGAAAATGGCCGCAAACTACATGAAAACTGCCGTAGAAGCATGAAAAATCGATTATTTCCACTATCGATGGTAGTTGGGAAATGCAAATTCGGTCTTGGCTTTTTTATTAATTTGGAGCATGTGCATGTAAATTTTGGTACAAATCCGTCGAAAATTGGGGCCGTACATTCGTTACACACACACACACAAACACACACACACACACACACACACACACACACACACACACACACACACACACACACACACACATATCCTGCTTTTATAGATAGAGATTAATCTATTTACAAGAAACTACATAAAATAGTGAAGAGCTTATCTAAACAATTACCATGAAATAATTTATAGAAAAGGCACAAGGAAGCAACATTATGACAGTTGGAATGTGACTGAACCCGAGATACCAGGATCAATAATATTGCTGATTCTGCGAAAGAAATCAACACTACAAAGGTTAAAAAAAAAACTCGTTAAAAGAAACATTAGAACTGCTAAAATCTTTACAAAATACTCAACGAGATCGACTATAGATTAAAAACTAAAGCAATACAGCAACATAGCAATAAAATCAAATTCACAACAAAATAGGGGAAATCATTAAAAAGGAAAAATACAGCTTATACACAAACAGAAAATTAACAACCTATCCAAATGGTAATTCGAACCAAATTCAAACAGATTTATCAACTATTCCAACTAGAAACAGACGAAACAACAAAAAGAATTCCTCAATTTAAAAATCATTTCTAGATTTCAACAAAATACACACATTAAAAAAAATAGAAATCCAACTCCTATATCAAAAGCTTCTTCCTTTACAAAACAACGAAATACAAATACACGCCCAAATTATCGGATCTGCTAAAAATAGGAATAAAGAACTTCCATTTATACAAGTTTTGTTAAAGACCATTGACTGTCGTAGTGAAGTCGGCATGAACTTCAGTTGATAAGCCTGGGAGGTTTGTACGTATTTGTAATTGATTGTTGGTTTGAAGTTTTTGGGATAGGATTTCAGTTTTCAGTTTTTTTCTTGTAAATTTGGATATTATTTTGTTGATATATGCTTACCAAAAGCAGTAGACATAAAGAACAGATGCAACAAGGGCAAACAAAACTCGCCACTAACCATGACATTAATAAACTTAGCAAAAGAAATGCACCGAAACAAAAACATTACAATCAGTCGGTGTGATTCTAAAAGCTGACATAAGCCCTTTATATATATTTATTTCATATAGCACTGAATGCTGGACAATTTCCTCGAAGACAAAGAAGAAACTTGAAGTAACAGAAATGTAGTTCTACAGAAAGATGCTGAGGATACCCTGGACCGAACATGTGAGCAGCGACGAGGTTTTAGAGAAAATGGAAACGAAAAGAAAACTTATACTTAACATCAGGAAAAGACAGTTGAGGTTTCTGGGGTACATAAGGAAGGCTAGATGGACAGAGGGAAACAACGCATAACACACTTGACGAATTTGAGTAAATGGATGGCGGAACAGGGTCTAGAAGTAAAGAAAATATATTATTTAGAGCTGCCATATACAGGAAATTGTGGAGAGCCTACGCCCAGAAGGGACACGGCACACAAAAGAAGTTGACGGAGACAATATGCAGTTAGGCGTCAATGAATGCATATTTGTATTATTTCATTTTTGCTTGGATATTCTCTACGACGTTACACCCTGTTAGCCTCATGTCGACGAGTTCGACTCAAGTCGAGGAGTTCGACTCGTCGAAAACAAACACACAAACAAGAAAAAACAACCATTATATCGTACAAAAAAAAACAAAAAAACAAAAAACAATACAAAAAAAACGGAGACGAATCAAAACGTCTAAACAATTTTTAAAACATTTCACTCCAAGCAAGTAGATATTGATTTTCTAAGCGAGGCTTTGATGGGGTACTTGACGGAAAGTATGGGGTACCCAGTGAGGATCGAACGCAGTATTCAGTTGTAACAAGACCAGCTTGCTAACCATTACACCACGCCGCGGAGCCCAACCTCAAGCGCGTAGATAGGTGATTACAAACGAGTCAAAATGAAAGAGAATACTGAAAATAGGGACGATTGAGGAATAGACAAAAGGTGAACAGACCTCAAGAAGACAGAAGATGGTGATTGACGTTGCATTTACATTTTGTAGATTGTAGTTATTAGGGAAGCAAGAAATCATAATGGATGTTCACAGGTGGGAAGTGCGAGAAAAAAAACTGTTGGAGAAGAAGTGGCGATTGCGTTTAGCTATCTCAGCAGTAAAACAATGAGACCTACTTGCCAATCTAGTAGCACGCTTAAATTCATGGAATCGAAGCACTAGGGAAAAGGCTTCATCAGAACAATTGCCGGGAAATTTCAGTGATGACCGTTAATGCATCGGCAGTAAACCTGGCGAAACGGAAGTCAAGTGATGGTTGCATCTAGCTAGTTCAACAGTAAAACAATGGGACCTACTTGCCAATCTAGTAGCACGCTTAAATTCATGGAGGCACGGCAACAGTGAAAAAAGCTCGTCAGAAAATATTTGTAGAAAAACAGTCGGTGAGGAAATGACTGAAATCGAGATGCTTGCTGAGGATCGATTACATTACAAATCCTATTTATGGCACAGCTTAGATGGAACAAGGCCATGTGTATGTAGTACCTACAATGAAATCATGTTACAATATAAATATATTAAGTATATATGTGTGTATGTAAATGATTTTATGAGAAGTTTATTTGCACATTTTTATAAAATCTTTGAAGGTGGCTTTTGAAATCACATTTTCTTTACACCCAAATGAATTTTTCTGTTCATGCCTATGTGGCGTTAGCTCCCTTGAAACATGTGAGAAGACGCATATGTGTCATGAAACTTATATGTGTTCCTTTTTTATCTTATTAAAAAGAAACATACCGACAAAATTAAGTGAATGCAACAATACAGGGTGGTATTGTAATTAGCGTAAGAAAAAATTACACGATATTTCTCTTATTCTACATCTGTCTGAGTTGTCTATTTTGTTTCGTTTTTTTCTCTCCTTCAAGAAAATCCAATCCATCATTTAAAAAGAAAGAAAGAAAGAAAGAAAGAAAGAAGAAAAATGTAAGTTTCCCACGATAGAAAGTGTCGGTAACATTATATAAGGCCTTTTATCACGTGAAATAAATCAATCCCAGGATAGTTAGGCATAAATCAGGGAGATTTCAGGTTCGAAACTTTTACAAGCATACACACACGTATATTACATACACGTTTGTAAAACCTCCCTGCGTACTCTCCTATACACACACGTCAGAAAACAATCAACAAACCCGCAGTACCAATACACCCACACGCCTACACAGCGGCACACCCACACCAACTTCGTATACAAATACACGGTGCCACACGTTCGTATGTGCAAATAAACCTGCACAGACACACATGGTAACACACAAAATAAAGAATTGCTAAAACGCGCGCTATACGAGATCTGATTAAAAAAATATCGGGACTGGTGGTATAAAATTAAAACTACAACATATATCAGTTCATCACTTAATATCCTTCGAAGTAGTCCCCTTTTGAAGCCGTACACTTTATCCAGCGTTGTTTCCATTGATGGAAGCATTCCTTTGAATCCTTTTTTCGGATAGCGAGCAGCTGCCCCGTCACATTTTCTTGGACCTCCTCCCTTTCAAGTGGGATTTGAGTTTTGAAGAGGAAAAAGTTGTAAGAGGCGTTATCTGGTGAATATGGTGGTTGTTGGACCTAGGGAACGTTG